TTTGGGTATTAATTTCATGGATTATCGCATCCCTACTGTTCTCGTCGACAATATATAAATCAATACTTATCGTCAAACTAATGACATTAGTTGTAGCGATTGGATTATTTTGTTTGCTTTTATTTTTAATACACTTTTCATCCATACTTCACAACAAAACATACAAATCATATAAATTGTTGAATTCATTATATTTGACAAAACAAAAGTACATTCATCAAAATATAAAGGTAAACATAATACAGATATCCTATTTTCGTTAAATCCTAATATTTCTTTCAACAGTTGATGTCATTCATTGAGCGTTTGGGTCAGAAAAGGGTTGGCTTTTATTGTTGGAAATTATTTAAAATCAATAGATTTCAAGGATTTAAAGTATGAATAAAAATAATAAAAAAATTACCAGAAATATACTAATAATAACTACATTATTATATTTACAGATCATATGGTTTACCGCAATTTTATATATAAAAATACTTAAATGGCATAATAAATCTTTGATAAAAAATGTCATAGATTTAAATTTATAGATTTAGTCAGATTTTTAGAATTTTATAACTGAAACTAGAAATTTGCTTAAATTTATGATATTTTGTCTTTTTTGGATGAAATTCCTTTAAAATTTTCACTAATATTATTGATTTAAGATAACAATTAATTTTAGTCATTATTTACAATACGTTATTCTACTCTATTATCTAAATAGCATAATTATATTAACATAAATACTTATCATTAGATTTATTGCCATCATTATTATGACTATTATAAGTACTGTTTAATTATAATTCAAATATAAGTGCATTTTTATTATAAAAATATCGCTATTATTTTTAATTTTACAATATGACATTGTACTTTGTTCTCAATTAAATATATATTAATATAATCTTGTTGCTATTTTAATATAGAAATTGGTTGAATTAGAAATACATACAAATATATGTAAAATATATATAAATATGATTACAGTGTTTATTAGACCGGTTCGGTATTTGATATCCATTTTTGCTAAAAGTAAAAAAATTAATAACAATTCAAAACGTATTAATTTAAATAAATTATTACCAAAATCAGTGATTATAGCGAAAGCCGGCACTCATTTCTATAGTATTGGTCTCTCGATGTATAAGCCGTTCAATGCCTATAGAAATACATTCAAACATCCGTTACTTATATTTATAACAATAATTCTTCTGATGTTAAGACATATTATATTGATATTATTACCTAGACAAGATCCATTAATTTATGAATTAACGGGTGATTTACCTACGCTAATAGGTATGAGAATTCAATTGGGCACAAGTGTTGTGTTTGGTAATTTAATCGCTTTAATTTCACAAATAATACATTATATAAATTATATGAAAAGTATTAAACCAAAGGACTTAAGAGTATTTGAAATGCTTTCGGGTTTTATAACACCTAAAAGTATTGGCATTCAAGACATACAACTTGTCTATAAATTGTTGAAATTTAGTAAATTTTCACTTAAAATAGCAAATATTTTTATCACTATGTTTTCGTATTCATTCACTATTCTTATATCATTAATATTATATTTTAAGGTAAAATTATTAATTTTAATAATAATTCACTCAATTATTTGGACATATTATTTTAATGCTGTTTTTGATATATTAATGTGGCAATTGGCCTACTATTCAATTATAACATATTATTTAACCCATAAATTGCAATCAATTGATAATATACTTAAGAAAGTACATGATCAAAATTTTATGACATGTATTATTAAATATAACAATATATTTCTAGAGATTAATGAATATAACAAAAATATTTGGTGCAAAATATTGGCCTCATATTGGATAATGAATTGCTGGTGCATTGCTTTCCTATTGTTTACGTCAACACATAATCAGACAATAATTATCGCAAAAATCATGACATTTCTCGTATCGTTTGAATTATTTTCTGCGTTAATATTTTTAATACACTTTTCATCTATACTTCACAACCAAACCGTTAAATCATTGTTAAATTCATTGTATTTAATAAAGAGGACAAATATTTATCAAAAATTAAAAGTATGTTTATTTGTTATAAATATTTTTGCTCTTTTTAATGAGATATTTATTTTCTAATTAATAGTTGATGTCATTTATTGAGCGTTTGGGTCAGAAAAGGGTTGGCTTTTATTGTTGGAAATTATTTAAAATCAATAGATTTCAAGGATTTAAAGTTAGTCTTAATTATAATTAAGTTTATTTTATTGAATGAATTTTATTATTTTACAGATCATTTGTTTTACAGCAATATTATACATAAAAATACTAAAATGGCACAATAAATATACATAAAAAGTTAATTTTAAATTGAATTAAAAATTTTTCAAGGAATTTAAAGTTTCAATTATTAAAGTTAAATTTCAGCTCAATTGATTTCGTACTATACAAATTATTTGTTATAAAAATATGCTGTCTCATCTAAAAAACAACTGTTTTTAAAACGATCATGAACATCCTGTTACGATCAAGGTATTCGCAGTCCATGGATAATGACCAGGGTCTCTGCGGCCACCAAGTTGACTACGGGTGTAAATATAAAATATATATTTTATTAGTAATAATAAAAATAAATGAGAGGAGAACCATGATAATTTTGTATAATAATAATAACAACGTTTATTTATTCATAACGCGTCGAATAATATAATGATACAGCAAAAAATCATTAAAAAGTACATTAATACAATTAAAAGTTCTTTAAAATTAAGTTTAAAATTACATATTTATCAGATAAAAATTTTGACATTTCTGTAAAAATTTATTAATATTTGTTTCATTTCTTATTATGACTCATAATTGCAATAAAATTGTTTAATTTTAAGTCTTAAAATATGTTAATTTTTCTCCATAGTAAGTAAAAATCATGTAGATTACTTGCATATTTGTATTTTACAGTGTAAATTACATGTTCATGATCGTTTTAAAAACAGTTGTTTTTTATGACAAATCATTTGTATATTACGAAATCAATTAAGCTGTATATAAGTAGAGTACACTAGCGATGCATTTAGTTCCTTTGTAAAACTTTATTATATAATTGACAAAATGTTTGACAATTTAATACAAGTAATGGCAATAATACCAATGTTTTTATTATTTATCATTCAATATGTGTGGTATTCATTGGCGGCTATTGTGGCCATCTATATAACATTTGCGTATAGGTCAGTTTTATGTTTTACTAGATATTAAATATACAGTATAAAGCAGTAACAGCCAAAAGTAGGCTTTGCCTATATACACCCATAGACTTTACATTAGTTTTAATGCATTAGTGCTATCTGAGTGCTATCTGTGGAAGTCCCTGGTATAAAGTATATTAATTTAATAACAATTATTAAGATACCAAGATTACTAAAATACCATGATTATTATTGCCATTAATGATAGGAAATGGAATCGTTCACTAAATTACTGGAAAGACCGCAATATCTCGGGTCCAAAACCCGTACCATATTTTGGAAATACTTTAAGTCATTTCTTAAAGCCGAGGCCTTATGTGGAGTTAGAGTGGTATAACACTTACGGCCGACTCTACGGGTAATTATATATTTGCACAATATTTGTAACCAATGTTACGTATAATACTGTCCCCACACTTGTATATTATTGTTTTGCATCGCATAGTGTGCACGAAATGGGAGCGCCTGTGTTAGTAGTGGCGGACCCGGTGCTCATCAAACAGATTCTGGTGAAGGACTTTCACAAATGGCGTAACAATAACTCTAAAGATTCAACTCAATTGTTTCCCAAACACTTGGGCAACGCCAGGGATGACCACTGGAAACGGTTCCGACATGTATTGAGCCCAGGGTTTACTTTAGGCAAATTGAAACGCATGTACCCTCTCATCGACGAGTGTTGCCAAGAGGTTATGCGGGCTTTGGATCGCAAGCTGTCCGTCAGTAGCGGTCAGACGGTTGACGTCCAGTTGAAGCCACTTATGACCGACTATACTATGGATGTGATCGCCAGCACAGCCTTTGCCACCAAAACACACACCCATAGCCACCCAAACAACCCGTTTGTCGCTAACGTTAATAAATTCTTTGTTTTTAATCGCTTTAAGACGTTGTCGGCAATGATTTTGCCCACATTTGTCACTCATAGCCGGGTCTGGAAGGCGGTGGTCGGCGGCGGCGGCCAAACGCCAATCATGTTTTTTACTCAAATCGTGAAGCGTTTATTGTCTGAGCGCAAGAAATCGGGCAAAATATACAACGATTTATTGCAATTACTTATAGATTCCGAAAGAGTGGACATCAATGACCAAACGGTAAGCGCGGATATAAAGGCCAGCACTGATGCGGCCGAAGCTCATCGCGTGATGAAAGGCATTGGCAATGATTTGGCGGCCGACGAACAGGTCTTAAGCGATCAGCTCTTTGACAAAACGTTGACCGAAGAGGAGATAATCAATCAATGCGTCGGATTGTTAATCGCCGGCGTCGAGAGCACGGCATTGACGCTGTCTTTGTGTACGTATGAGTTGGCACTCAATCCCGACATTCAGAACCTGTTGGTGGCGGAGATCAAAGAGGCGTTTAATGAAAACACGGCTGACATAGACTACGAAACCCTTTGGCGACTCCCACTGCTAGACGCCGTTGTATCTGAAACTGTGCGCAAATACCCCCAGGGCATTTTCCTAAGAAGAGAGGCCTCGGAGACCGTGGTGTTGAGCACCGGTCGTAGCGATGGATCAACGGTTACGATCGAGAAGGGAATGTTTGTATCGATACCGGTGTATGGCATACATCACGACCCGGACAACTATCCCGATCCGTTAGTTTTTAAACCCGACCGCTTTTTATCCAAAAATAGTCATCACATCAAACCCTACACATACCTGCCATTCGGCGCCGGACCCCGTAATTGCATTGCTATGCGTTTGGCATTATTTGAAGTGAAACTACTTGTGGCTAAAATGATACAACAGTTCCGGTTCTATGCGGTGGCCGACACTCCTATACCACCCGTTTTCGAGTTCGGTTTCGATCTGTTAAATGCTAGGAGTCTTGTGGTGGGCGTTGCGAAACGTTAACTCTATTGCAAACTTGATTGTTAAACTTCAAAATGCATATTAAAGATTATTTTTATTTTATTATACCGTAGATTTATTTACTATAGATTTTTTTTTATTATACCGTAGATTTATTTTAATCATTGCTTAAATGTATGTTTAAATAATAGTCTATTACTGAAAGACAAATAATAACAATTATAATATTAATTTTTGTCATAATTATGGCATTTTTTGTAAAAAGTGAATTATGTTTTGTATTATTATTTTTAGTAAAAATTTTTTACATCACTTTTAATCAATATTTTACAGTCAAACTATTAAACCATACAGAGTGTGGGCGACAATTTTTAAAAGTAGAGTACCAACAATATAGTAAGTTTAGACATACTTTTATATTAGTTAAGCAATTTTAAACGTAATTGGAAAATTCATTATTAATTTTAACACATAAATTACTTTAACATGCAATTAATGGCGGACATTTTGAAAATTTAATACATTAAATTTCATCTAAATTATGTATAATTTTAATATAAATATTATAATATAAAGTATGTTTGTTTAAAACTGACAAAAAATTATAATTTACTACAGCTTGTAAATTAATAAGTGTAGAGGAATTGCGGTTAGAATTTGGTCAACTTATTTAACTGTATTTAACTATATGAATGATTATTTTTTAAACGTTATTTGAAACCAACACTGGTGCGAGCGTGATTATATCGTGGATACTCTACTTTTAAAAATTGTCGCCCATATATTTTGCACTTTTTATACATATACTCTTTGTACTATAATAAAATTTAGTACCCGTATTACCTGGGATTATATTGCATGCAATATAAAGTCAATATCAGTAAAATTGTGTTTTTCAGAATCATATGCAATATTATCTAGGTAATATTGCACCCCTTGGCTAAAATTGACATAATATTGCATGCAATGTTATTTCAAATTCACTGCACATTGTAAATAATTTACAGTATTTACTAATTTACAACATTTAAATAATAGTTTAATTGAGAATGAATTAATAAATATTAAATTTAGAGAAATATTCCACAAAATCTATTATTTTTGGCGTTCAGATACATCGTCGGTCAGACCCGACGGTTCAGCCGATAAGGGTTCAGATAGACTATCATTATTAGATAGCATTCATTTAATAGTCAAATGTGTTTTTGAATTTTATTTTACCCCTAATTCATATTAAATTCAATTCCCTGTCACTCATGTCTTCACTCATAACTATGTCTATCATTTCATTTGTGTCTACATTTGTTGAATACTAGATTCTCAGACATTTTATTATCTTTAAATAGTGTTTGACAGGAAATTGTTACAAATTTATTTTTAACCATAAATTTACACTTTAAAACTACTATTTATGTAAAAGTCTGCACATTTGATATGCAAAACTAAATTTGTTTAAATACTTAAATATTTTTGGTAATTTCTGACAAATTTTCAAATTGGGCTAAAATAAGGTGCAATATAATCTAGATAATATTGCACCCCTTTACTGATATTGACTTTATATTGCATGCAATGACTTTATATTGCATGCAATAAAATCCCAGGTAATACGGAAATTAATAAAATATATAACATGATAATCTAACATGTACATTTCAAGTGACATTATGGCAATTAGCAGTATTAACGGTGGCAATACATGGTCATAAAGGGCAGCAATACCATGATGATTCACTATTAGGATCTAGATGTCCAAATGCTGAGACACTCGCGCCGTGTGTTTGTCACGTCTACCCAAACAAAGTGCGGGACATAAGTTGTGGCGCCACCGGATCATTAGACCTTGTTGGCATACATTCTATTGTTGCATACATAAATGTACTTTATATTGCAACATTATAACATTGCAAATTGCAATGTCATTAATACATTTTAAAAAACATTTTAATTAATTTAACTATGTTATACTAAAATACATGTATACACTGTAATAATTAATACAGAGTAATAATCCTGCATCAAAAAAATGCATAAATCTAATCCTTCAAAATGCTTGAAAGTTGCAAATGCTTAAAACTATTTAAGCACGTATGCTTGAATTTGTCATTTTGTGGACGTAATTTTGTCCCAAACCAGAGATGCAGAAAATAATTTAGTCACAAAATCACATCTCAAAATCATACACAATGACACAATACAATTCATCACTTGAATAGAAAAACATATTTGACTATGTGTCATGTTTAGAAACAGTCATGCATGTTTAATTAATAGGTTATCTATAAAGAGTACTATTAAGTGATACAGAATTAACATTGTCAGCATAGCTCAGTTGGTAGAGCGTTGGCTTCTAATTCTAAAGGCACTGGGTTCGAATCACAGGTTCGAGTCACTTTTTTAAAACTTTTTTTACATTTAATTATCACCTATGTGTATTTATATTCACACATATCATGCATTTAAAATTAAGCATGAATTTGCAAATAGTAATTCAGCAGCTAGGTTGAATTATTGGTCGTATCATATCCTGTTTTTGGCTTAATTATGAAAAGGACCTAAATTACAGTGTATATTTGATTGCATATTTAAGTTCAAGATCGTGACAGCATTTTTTTATACCGCAAATCATTTATATAGTACGAAAACAAGTGACCTGTATATAAGTAGAGTACAAAAGCGATGTTTTTAGTTTCTTGTTAAAGCTTTATTAAATAATTGACATTTTATTAACAAAATGTTTGACAATTTAGTACAAGTAATGGCAATAATACCCATGTTTTTATTATTTATAATTCAATATCTGTGGTATCCTTTGGCGGCTATTGTGGCCATTTATATAACATTTAAGTATAGGTCAGTACTTTATGTCTGATTTGATATTAAATATATAAAGTATATTATAAAAATTGTTAAATGTACCGTGATTAATTAACATTTACCATGATTATTTTTGCCGTTAATTATAGGAAATGGAATCGTTCACTAAATTACTGGAAAGACCGCAATATCTCGGGTCCAAAACCCGTACCATATTTTGGAAATACTTTAAGTCATTTCTTAAAGCCGAGGCCTTATGTGGAGTTATAGTGGTATAACACTTACGGCCGACTCTACGGGTAATTATATATTTGCACAATATTTGTAACCAATGTTACGTATAATACTGTCCCCACACTTGTATATTATTGTTTTGCATCGCATAGTGTACACGAAATGGGAGCGCCGGCGTTAATAGTGGCGGACCCGGTGCTCATCAAACAGATTCTGGTAAAGGACTTTCACAAATTGCGTAACACTATGCCCACTGATTCAAATCAATTGTTTCCTTAACACTTGGCCAACGCCAGCGATGACCACTGGAAACGGCTCCGACTTATATTGAGCCCAGCGTTCACTTAAGGCAAATTGAAACGCATGTACCCTCTCATCGACGAGTGTTGTCACGAGTTTATGCGTGCTTTGGATCGCAAGCTGTCCATCAGTAGCGGTCATACGGTTGACGTTCAGTTGAAGCCACTTATGGCCGACTATACTATGGATGTGATCGCCAGCACAGCTTTTGCCACCAAAACACATCCCTATCGCCACCCAAACCACCCGTTTGTCGCAAACGCTTTAAAATTCTTTGTTTTTAATCGCTTTAAGGCGTTGTCGGCAATGATTTTGCCCCCATTTGTCACTAATAGCCGGGTCTGGAAGGGGGTGATCGGCGGCGGCGGCCAAACGCCGCTAATGTTTTTTACTCAAATCGTCGGCCGTTTATTGTCTGAGCGCAAGAAATTGGGCAAAATATACAACGATTTAATGCAATTACTTATAGATTCCGAAAGAGTGGACATCAATGACCAGACGGTAAGCGCGGATATAAAGGCCAGCAGTGATGCGGCCGACGCTCATCGCGTAATGAAAGGCAATGACAATGAGTTGGCGCCCGACGAACACGTCTTAAGTGATCAGCTCTTCAACAAAAAGTTGACCGAAGAGGAGATAATCAATCAATGCATCGGATTGTTAGTCACGGGCGTCGATAGCACGGCGTCGACGCTGGCTTTGTGTACGTATGAGTTGGCCCTCAATCCTTATATTCAGGACCATTTGGTGGCGGAGACCAAAGAGGCGCTCAATGAAAACACGGCAGACATGGACTACGAAACCCTTTGCCGACTCCCACTCCTGGACGCCGTCGTATCGGAAACTCTTCGCAAATACCCGCTGGGGATTCGCCTAAGAAGAGAGGCCTCGGAAGACGTGGTGTTGAGCACCGGTCGTAGCGATGGATCAACGGTTACGATTGAGAAGGGAATGTTCGTAGAGATACCGGTGTATGGCATACATCATGACCCGGACAACTATCCCGACCCGTTGGCCTTCAAACCCGACCGCTTTTTGCCCGACAATTGTCATCACATCAAACCCTATACATACCTGCCGTTCAGCGCCGGACTCCGAAGTTGTATTGCTATGCGTTTGGCATTACTTGAAGTGAAACTACTTGTGGCTAAAATGATACAACAGTTCCGGTTCTATGCGGTGCCCGACACTCCTATACCCCTTGTTTTTGAGTTTCACGATGCTACGTTAGTTGCTCGGAGTTTTGTGGTGGGCGTTGCAAAACGTTAACCCTATTGCAAACTTATTTGTTAAACTTTGAAATGCATATTATTATAGATTTATTTTAATCAGTGATTGTATGCTTAAATTATAAACAAATAATAAAATTATAATTTTTGTCTTAATTATGCCATTTCTCCTAAAAATTAAATTATGTTTTGTTTTACTATTTTTACTACATGTTTCATCGGATCGCGTAATGACAATCGTTGTAATGAATATTTTTATTGATAATACGTTCCCTTTCGAACATATGAATTCTAACAAATGATACAGAATTAAGTATCATAATGTATTTCTATGAGAGATTTGTTCTATATCGATTTATAAATGTTTTTGTTGAAAAATCAAAAATTTTAAAAATTACTTTTGGTAGTATATAATTATGAACAATTTGATGCACTAATCATTAAAATTGAACATGTAGATTTTAAATGGCAAGCAATTGTAATTATGTAAATTTGATCACTTTAAAGCAAAATACTTACATTTATATCGTTTACGAGAAAAATACTGATAGTTGTATCAAGTCATACTTTATTCTAAACAATTTGGTATATAGTTTGTCAAAAACGAATAAGTACTTTTTGAGTTATGAAAAATTCAAATATGCCATTGAAATACATTATGTCACTTAATTCTGTGTCATTTGTTTAAATTCATATATAATGAAAATGTTGTATCATGCTAGTTGTTAACAGAAAACGGTATTATAAAAAGCAAATTATTTTGTTTATTAAAAGTGTTTTCATTTAAAATTTAAACTTACAGTGTAAGTTTTAAGAGTGAGAGTAATAATTTATAGTGTTTTTCATGTAATTATTTCTAATATACAATTCAGCGTTACTTCACAACCAAACGACTAAATCATATAAAATTTTAAATTCATAATTAATGTTAAAACAAATGACATTTACCATAAACTCGAGGTATAAATTTTGTATTTTAATTATCAGCATAGGTTTATGTTACATAAGTTATGTATAATATTTATTTGACATCAATAAATGTTTTTAAATTTACATGTAATTATATTAAATACATTATGTATATCGAAAAACAAATTATCCGATTATAATAAAATTATTTCCATAGTTTTACCATTACCCATGTTAAGTCTATGCCAAAGATTAAAAGCACGCCAATTAGTATATTGTTCAATTTTATAATTGTTACTAAAGTTAAATCTAATATTATGGCACAGGTTGAACACATGTATTGCTAAATCAATGCCCAATGCCAAGTCTAAACCTGATGTAACATCAGTGATGTTACAATATAATTCAGTAAATTAAACAAGCAAAATCTAGTAAATAAATGCCGTAATTTGCTATGTGTTCAGCATTTATTTACATGGTAGAAAATAGTTAGAAAATAAAACAAACTTAACTATAACTAATAAAACATTTCACTATTCTCAGTAATAATCTTTATTCAATTAATATGCAAGTTTATTTAGTAAATATAATTATTATTATTAATATTAAAGTTTTGCAATTTTTAATAGTGAAGTACTTTTTGTTTATTAAATAAAAATACATAAATTGTCTTATGTAAAATTGGATATTTGATAAATGTGTAAATGTATTGATGTGTAAAATAATTTCTGAATTAAAAGAAAAGTTGTTTAGAGTAAATACTAAATACATTATTTAAATTAAAACAATATTATATTAATCAAAATACTGTAATATAGAAGTTAAAAGAGTAATCGCACTAGTTATTGTAAAAAACAACTCATAAAATATTGTAATTAAAAAATAATAATTTATATAAATTAAAATAAATAATTATTTTCTAAAATATTACAAATCTGTATTATAATGAATAAAATATTTAACATTTGTTATAAAATACTTATATATTTGCTATGTTTAATGGGATGTGTGTATCAAACGTATAAAATAAGTTTATTATACTTTTCATACGAAACCACAACTAATGTCAGTAGTGAGTAGTATAGACTAGACCCCCATATATGGGCGGGGCTTATTTTTAATTAATATTACAAGACTATTACTATAGATAAATAATGTCAACAAATAAAGCTTCGAATATATATTTATTGAATATTAAAAAATACAATAACATAATGAAAATAAGTAAATAATTATAAAAATGTTTGCAAAGTAGCGCGAATTTCTTGACGACATATCGGACACGAATCAAGTTTAAGGGCACAATGAATACATGCGACATTGTGGCGACAAGGCAACAGTAGAGAACTTAATTCATTTTCAAAACAAATTTTGCATAACATGGCATCGTTAAATGAACGTTTCAGTGGCTTTTTAGAACCTGATGCGCTTATACCATACTTGCAGGCTTCATACAATTCGACGAATGAAGTGAAGGGGCGTCGGCATTGATCCCATCTTTCATTCATTACCGCTATAAGTTTACTTCTTGATTGACATTTCATATCAATAATTTGCTCGACAATATCAGCTTCCATCCATTTTCGAATATTGAATTGTTTAAAACTGATTTCGCGTGCAATACGTATAGATTTGCTGATAAACTCAGCGTCTTTTTCTNAAATGCTGTAAATTAGTAAATACTGTAAATTATTTACAATGTGCAGTGAATTTGAGATAACATTGCATGCAATATTATCTCAATTTTAGCCAAGGGGTGCAATATTATCTAGGTAATATTGCATATGATTCTGAAAAACACCATTTTACTGATATTGACTTTATA